CTGTTCAGCTATGTAATGGTATGAAATAGAATGAAATCTTGCCATTTGCTAACATGGATGGAACTGGGAGGAATTATATTAAGCAACATTAGTCAAAAGGAGAAAGACAAATCGAAAGGGAAGGTTGGGAGTTGGAAGCAAAAGGAAGAGGGGACCCAGTGCTTTGGTGATAGGTATATTACATATATCTGAATGGGTGTGAACCTATACCCCTAAATCATATACAATATTGTAAACCACTACCTCAATAAAAAGGTCATGCAAAGAAAAAAATAGTGATATAGGGATCAGTGAAAAAAATATCAGAGTATATTTTTGTTGTTGTTATTTTCTGTTTTTTTTTTTCAGCAGAGATGTTTACTGGGGACTAGCTCTATGCCTCTGTTAGTTATACCTGACTGATATTTTTGAGCTCTGTATTTTGTCTTATGATTGTCCCAGGAACACAGAACACAGCACAGCTCTTGCTCCTAAAAAGCTCAAATTCCAGGAACACTAGAAAGAGAAGCAATTGTCTTGCTACACCATGTTTGACAATCTACATAGTGCTAAGGATAAAGGAATAGTGATGCAGTCTTCAAATGCCTTAAAGAGTAAGTGATAAGGGGGTGCTTATCTTTGAAGGATAAGCTGATTTAGAAATGTTTAGGGTAGGATGAAGAGAGATGCAAGAGTACTTTAGGAAGAGAGGTTAACATCTGCAAAAGATGTTGACAGCGGCAAGCGAAACCATGATCATCTCTTCTATGGATATAATCCACAAAAACCTTTCCTTCTTAATTTACACATTTAAACAAGGAGGTTAAATACAACACAAATTATGAGTTTTAGGACCTCTAGTAAAACTCAGTTGACCTATTACCTGTGTTAGTAAATTGAAAGTTCCATCTTCTACAGTGATGATTCTGAAGTTTAGCCAAGTATCAGACCACCTGGGGGAATCATTTAAAATTACAAATTTTCAGCACTTTTGCCCCAGAAATTCTAATCCAGGAAGGTGGGTGTTTTAAATTTTCCCTGATAATTTTTATGCTCCCTCATCCACACACAGTGTCCAGTGTTTTGTACAAGTTCTACGACTTGGTTTGAAATGCTCAGTAGCGAGTTTCCTGACTTGGCAGTATCTTCTCTTTCCCTTGTGATTCTGCTTGAGAACATGGACTCTCTTGCCTGCTTGTACACATACGCACATAAAAGCAAGATAAATTAGTATCGGTGTTTTTGAAAGAAAGATGTGGTAAAACACCACAGTGAGAAGATTGTAGAATATAGCTATATTCCATTACTTCCTTCTGGTCAGCCTCAGGAAAGAAGCTGATCTCAAATTTCTTGGCCTCAGAACCCGTTCACATTCAAAACTCTTTATGGACCCAGTGAACTTTTATGTATCTATGAAAATTTACTGTATTAGAAATTAAAACAAATACTAACAAATTTTTGTTTAGTAATTTATTCTAAAATAAATTATATTAACAGAAATATTTTCATGAATAATGGGTATGTTTTTGAAATAAAAATAGAAGAATGAGATATATATTTTAAAAAAATTCTTTAATACATTTATTGCAATATCATATATAACCTTTGGAAAACTATATTATACATTTATGAGAAGAAAATGAAAAAAATAATCTTAGTATTGTTATGAGAATGTTTTTGACCGTGTAGTATCTTAATAGGGTCTTCCTCCTCCTCTGGATATTACCGCATAAGGTCACCCAGCAGAATACCTAACCATATCAATATTCCCCCTAAACCCCATGCTAGTACACATGCACATGCACACGCGCACACACGCACACACACACACACACACATATGTTTGCAAGCTTTCTGGGTAGTTACTTCCTAGGCTTCTCAAAATATAGAATTTGAGGAGAACACCACAACATTTATTATTCAATTTGGAGCTGACTTTAAATGCAAAAGATAGCAGCTAAGTATTTGTTAAATGAATAAATTAAAAGTTAGATATTTATGCAGTGTACCTCAATATATTAATTAGATAAAAATTTAGGATTAGGCTTCTTTGTAGTCAGACATTTAGTATCTGGAATTATTTCTAAGTAAATTAATATTTGGGAGCTAATATTTCCAGTTCAGGAGATAGTGGTTAGGATAATAAACTCTGGGTTCAGAAATCTTGGTACAAATCCTAACCCCAGTCCTTAGACATATCATGGGCAACTGACTTAACTCCTGGAAGTTCATTTTCCTTTTTTGTGTAATAAGAATGTAGTGGTATAGGTTCATAATCTCTTACGTTCATATCCAAAATTGAAACATCTCTGAAAATGGAAAGTTTATTTATAACTCATTGAACAACAAAAGATGACCTGGGTAGACAAAAGTTCTTTTCATTTAGCCTCTCTGCTATGACTAGTTTTGTGTTTTGCTACAGAAATTTAATGTGTTTGCTTCTGGAGTACTGCCCTAGACCTTGTTTTGTCTGTATACATTTGACCCTTGAATAACACATAGGTTAGGGATGCTCTCTGTCTCCCCCAACTCTCGCCCCACCACATGAAGTTGAAAATCCCCATATAACATAGCCAGCCAACCAACATCCTTGGTTGGTTGAATCTGTGAATATAGAACATTCAGATACAAACTCACAAAACTGTGTTGTGCAAAAGCCAACTGTATTTGAATGGTTCATAATAAATATGCACTGAATCCCAAACATCTGTTCCCAGGGACTTTGAGTAAGAGGTTGAAACAGATATATCTAAATCAGAATTAAAATATATATTTATTGTGTGTGTGTGTGTGTATAAAATCTAGAATACTGATAAACACATAGTACCATATTGGATTTTGTTAGATAAGGTAATATTTGCAAATGAGCTCAGAAATAAGTAGAAAAGAAGTAAAGCACTTCAGGCCTCCCCTGGTGGCGCATAGGTTGAGCGCTGGGCTGAGAAGCTGCCCGCAGTCTCTGCTGCACTGGTTCGATCCCCGGCCTCCTGCGAGGGCCCCTCATGGTGCAACAGACCTCTCCTGCCATGCCCGCTGCTCCCCTCAGCAGTGTATTTCGTCATTCTGACTGTTCTGTTCCCCACTCTGGCTCTGGTGAATTCTCTCACCCTCCCGCACTTCTGACTGTACCTAGTGCTTGTATAAATAAATAAATATATCTTTAAAAAAAAAAAAAAGTAAAGCACTTCTTATTTTACTAAACTTTCCTCCGTATCAGTGATAGGTGGGTTTTTATTTTTTCCTTTTGATTTAGGTAATTAAAAAATGGAAAGATACCGTTTTCCCACTTCATATCGGGAAAACTGTACCTTTCTTGTTATTAGGAAGGTTTAGAAATTGAAATTTTCAAAGTTAGTAATTTTGTTAATTTTTACTGTGTTCTAAGAACTGCTGGACACTAGGAATTCATCAGTAGAGAAGCCCAGTGTTAATTCTTAAGTCACTCATGGTCTAATGGGAAGGAAGCAGTTGAGTCAGGCATTGTGTAAATATTCAGTTTTAAAACAGTTCAACCTGGTCCTGCTACCTAATTGGATCACCAGATAAAACAGAGGACTCCCAATTACTATTGAGTTTCAGACAGAGTCACTCTTTTATATAGCAAATATTGCATGGGACACACTAAATGCAGTATACTCATCCCATACAGTATTTAGGACAATCTTAGAAGAAGGAAAAAAAAATACTTAAGTATTTGTTGTTTTATTTTTAAGTGGGCATTCTGTATTTTCACTTGCTAAATCTTGCATCCATAATGATAACGTGGGCTATTTTCAACCATCTTGGCAAGTTCTGAGAAGGAAATAGTTGTTTCACTCCTATTGGACAACTGAATTTTTAAAAAAAGATAATTTCAGACGTATGGGAAGGGTGAAGGGAAACTAAGGGAGTTTTATCACCCCAGGCTGGAAGAAATTCCTATCCTGAGGCCTGATAGGGCAAGAAGAGGGAAAGAAATAGGGTCACTGGCAGGGGCTGTGGTCTTCCCAAAATGAGATATGCCCGCCCTGCCCCACCAGAGAGCTAATACAAAGGAAACTGACCAAAAAAAGACAAGACAAAACTTGACTCTTCCCCCTCTCATCTTCACCCTACTCTGCCCTGCAGTATCTTGGGTGTGTCCTTCCCCAGATAGATGTCAGAAAACAAGGGGCCTGGCCCCCCACTACAGCTGCCTGGTGGGAAGCCAGTGGGTGGGGAATGAGTCTGGGTGAAAGTAGGCGGGGAGGGGGAAGAGAAAGGAATAAGGAAAAGAGCAACAGTCTGAAATCTGAAGGTTAAAGGAAAAAGTAAATCCATAATACCAATGATTTTAATCAAAAGTACTTTTGCTTCTACAGAATACTGATTTTTTTTTCTTCTCTGGGAGAACTACCACACTTTTTTATATCAGCTAAATGGATAGAACCACACCATGTCACTCTCATCTTGTGCCTGAGTTCTGATCTTCCGATTGACCCTAGAAATGAGCACCTCCTTATAGCTGGCACCCCTGGGGCCTCCCTGGACCCACCCTGACCCTGGTGCTGGCCATACCATGGTAACAGAGAGACAGGCCAATCCTCATCCTCTGTCGAGTGGGGAGGCACCGTCCCAAGTGAGTCCTGGAGCTAGGACTGCTCTCCCTCCTCAGATCTTTGTCTCTCTCCACACAAGACAAGGCTGTGGTACTTGAACAAATCCTCTGACCAGAGAGCTTTCATTTTGTCAATGAAAATGGTGTGTAATATCGTGATCCTAATCTGCCAACTGGGGAGGTGAAATAGCCAGTCTCTTCAAACTGCCATGCCACCCTGAAGTGGGAACTCCATCAAGTCCCTTCACATAAATTCTAAGAGACCACCTGAAGAGTGAGTCGGGCCCTTCAGACATTGTACCCCAGGTACACCAGTGTGTAGATGAAAGTTCATTCATGAACACTTTTATCTTGCAGTATTTAAAGTACGCTTCAGACTATCTGACCCTGGGGTTCCATCTCGATTCCTGTCTGATCTCCATCCTTTCTCCTGTCCCCATTGCAGTTTCCCAGACAAGGCCTGCAGCAGACCCAGCAGCAGCAGCAGACAGCCGCCCTGGTGCGGCAGCTCCAGAAGCAGCTTTCCAGTAAGTCCCCTGTCTGTCCCAGAACAAATGGCTCAAAATAAGCAAGCAAGCAAGCAAGACAGTGGTAGCTTCTCCAAACACACACTGTCTTCCTTACTACCATTTTCATCTTTGCTTTTGTTCAGACTGTTTTTACTTTGGATCTGATTTGAAGCCTGCTCTTCCTGGAAAAGGCCCAATCTTTTTCTTGAATTGATGATGTCTTCCTTTTGCTTCCATCAGAACTGGAAATGTTTCTTTTCATTTGAGGAGCCCCTATAGAACCGCAAGTGCCTTTTTTTAAAAAAAATGAATCTGGACAGTTCAGAGAACAGCTACGCTCATACCCTCAAACGAGCGAGGTTGGGTGCCTCCCAACGTCTCAGGCCAGCATCATCCTTCCTGTGTCTTGCTCACTGGGGCTGTGACTGTTATTACCATTGCACCATCCTACCTTCCTGAAAATGACTCAGAAAATCAAAACTTATAGTGTCACAGACAGCGTGACAGGATCATGCTTTTTCCCCAGTAATCTTGCCTGCAAGTTTCATGTCTCATGTCATTTTTTTTTTTTTTAATTCTACCTCTCAGATTCCACTCCAAGAACCCATTCTGTCACGCCTCATCCCAGTGCTAGCAACATGCCCCAGTGAATAGATCAGCCCTAAGTTGGAGCTGCAGGACAGGAAGTAAGAAGACTTAAAATCCGGTGCGACCTCTACCACCATTATATGAATTAAGTGGTGAAAATGAGACTTACTATTTTCTGAGTCTCAGATCATGTGCTTCCAAGGAACAAACTAAAAAGCAGCCACTCCTATAGGCAGCAGTGTGGGTCTGATAGGCTATTGTGAGGAAAAGGGTCAACTTACGGTGAGGGGCAGCTTGGTTTGAGTATATTTTTTTTTCACTGCAGTGATGTCTTTTTTTTTTTTCCTTGAGGTTACATTGATTTACAACACTGTAGGTGATTCAGAGGCACAGGGCACAACTCTTCAGGTCTCAGATACAAGTCACCACACCATTTTCCGCCTGATTGCTGTTCATGTTGATTTCCTGGCAAAGGGAATGCCTCTCTTACACCATGTGTCTTAACCAAGGACATGACCAAGACTTTTTTTACCATTAAAAATATTTCCCCTTCTAGTTGCATTTAATTTTAGTTAAATCATGTAAGTCAATCTTCTTTCCCAACTACTGTTTAATAGATGTGGCCTATTAACAAATGTATGGTTAAAATTTCATTGTGTTTCATTGATCTCAAGGTTCATATATTTGCATGACTAAAGAAAGGATATAATTTTAAGACAGAGATAACATGTTTATATTTAAGATTTTGTTCTAGTCTGTAGAAATATGTACTAGTGATATTTACAGAGTAGCCCCCATTTGGGGAGTGTATTTACTCATTTCCTTTTTCCCACATTTTTTTTTTTTTAAACTAGGATTCACAGAGCACTTTCTTAGGTCCAGGAACTATGACTTTGCATGTAGTAATTCACTTAATTCTTAAACCCTGCCATCTATTAGGTATTATTCCTCTCATTTATTATAGATGAGAGAAGAACTAAAGAATGGGGACATGACTCATTTTCCAGGGTTATTCAGGTAGCAATAAGGGACAAAACTGAGATTTGAACACCAACTTGGGCGGTCTCTTTCCAGCGCCCCTCTCTTAACCTTTTCTACTGTGTTGCCTACAACTAGCAGTTACACCAACCTCCTTTGTTGTTTAATAACGACAAAGCCGAACCACACATTGCACAGCTCCAGAGGACTCTTTGCATCCTAGTCCACATGAAAGGGGCCCTTGGATTTGAAGTCCCACTAGAGGTGTACAAGCAATAGCTGTTTCTAAAACTGTCTTTCTTTGTACCTTCTGTTCTTCCTTTTTTCTGTGTGTGTGAGAATGCATTCGTATATGTGTAGGCCCATGCTGCGTCAACAGTCACTTCTGTACCTCTACACTCTGTTAAAGTTGAAGTAACAGGGGCCTGAGTTCAATCCCAGTCAGGGAGCAACCTACATGGCGCAGCAGACCTCTCCTGTCTCACCTGCTGTTCCCATCAGCAGTGTATTTCAGTAGATCTACATGTTCTACTCCCCACTCTTTCTCTGGTGAATCCTTCAAATCCCCCCCCCCCACCTTGCAACACACACACACATCTCTGGCGCATACTCCAGTTCTTCTTCACTAAGTAAATCTTTAAGAAAAAATATTTTTTAAAAAGTAGAAGTAACATTGGACTATAACATCATGTAGGTTTTATGTGTGTATCATTATTAGTCAACATCCCTATATAATAAATTGTGTTTACCACTGAAAGTGCAAGTCCATCCTTCTCCATACAATTGACCCCTTTACCCAACTTACGCTCCCCCTTCCCTTTTGGTAACTGCCAATTTGGTCTTGTAGTATAAAGTTTTTGTTTTGTTTTGTTCATTTTTTTGTTTGCTTCTTTTTATACCATAGATGAGCAAAATCATGCAATGTTTGTCTTTCTCTGTCTGACTTATATCACTATGCATAATGCCCTCTCAGTCCATTCAAATCATGCCAACCCTCTGGAACTGTACTCTCTCTCTAGCTTATGGTCATTTGCAGAAAATTGTCCGATTTCAAGTTACTTCTTTCTCACACATTATAATGTCAGTGTTAAAATAGAATTTCTGGCGTGCTTTTAAAAAACTGTGAGTACCATTCAATGTGTTTATGATATTTATAGTCCTTATGTATGTTAGTAGTGAGTTATCTTGGACAGGCCAAAGCCCATGCTTTCCTGAGAGGGTGCTGAGGTACAACAGGTTCCTCTACAGTGTCCTGGCCCCATGTGGTACTTGGGTCCCTCTGCAGAATGTCCTCAGCTGTGGCACACTGCCACCAGGCTCACACTATAACCCCTGCCTGGCTGGCTGTCCCTCTCTTCCTGAGGCTGGAGCTGAGAGGAATGACAGGAGGGTAATATCTATCTGTGGCACAATTTTACACCTGTAATTTTATATAAATTTATTTTTTTCATTAGGTAACCAGCCACAGCAAGGAGTGACTCCCTATGGGCACCCATCACACTTCTGAATCTAGAAGAGAACAAGATATGAAGTTTTGTGTTTGCACTGAAAAATAGAACATCAGATTTAATGCATTAATCATTTTTAGAAAAGTTGTCTTCATTTGTTTCATTTCTTTGAGGTTTTCCTATATTTTATTGTACATTACATATAATGGTTAAACTTTAAACAAAAAGCAGAGGAGGGGAATGTGGTATGTTTTGGTTACATTCAACTTTAAAACAGGTTTTAAAATGTGTATCATTTCTACTTACTCTGTGAAGAGATTGGTTGCAGGTATTTGAAATTGGTGCTTTTTTTTTTTTTTTTGAATCTCATAGAAAGAATGAATTATTGTGAAATATATAGTATTTATGTATTCATTAGTCATTTTTTTTCACACTCTCCCAGACCAAACTACTGATTTGAAAGTCAAGTCAGATCTTGACAGAAAAGTGACCCGTTTATTCTGCATTCACCTTTGATGGTGAAATGGACATTTATTTGCATCGCTCTAATTTGAAATGTTTGTAATTTCATAAGCACTTTATAAACTTCATTCTTATTTATGTAGGATTTCTCTTTGCTTTTGTTGTGGTCAAAAGGTGCTGAAGCAGATTGTTTCTTAGTACTTAAACTTCTTAGACCAAGAACTTAAACCAAGTTTTTGTGAGAGTCAGCTTAAGATATCTGAGAGCCTAGTAGAAGTAGTTAGATACCGAATTTGTTTTCAGTGGCAAGATTATTGACCAGAGTCTTTATGAGATTCAACATGTAAATTCTAATGGCCCAGGCCACAGTGGAATTATTCCAATTATTTATTACCAGATTTTGGCAAAAATGACTGTCCAGTTTCAGTTCTCCTGAACATTATGACAACTTGAGAAAAAAGATCTCACAGCTAGCTTGAAATTCCAGTGTGTGACCTTGACCTGGTTTCCAGATAACCTGGCCCCAAACTCCAAAAGGCTATGGTTTTCCCAAAAGCTGTATTTGCTGTTTATTTTATATGGTAAGTATTTGCTATTTTCAATTATTAATGTTGGTGTCAGTCTTGGTTGTGTATTGCATATACTGTATTTATAAATTGGTGCAAAAAGCACAAGTAAATTATACATCAAATTTATTATAAAGAAATAGTAACTATTTTAACTTTGTTCAAGTATGTGGTAATTTGCTCCTATTAGAGTAAAAAATACAGTAAATTATTATCAGTTTGTGTAACTTAAGAGTATTCCATATGATATTTTTTTAGATTTAGATGCATAAAATTTTGAATGTGAAAATTGCAGGGCATTTTAAAACATAGGTGGGGGATATTCCCTTGTTCTGTGTTAATGCATTTCTTTTGCCATATGATATTACATGTAATGTAGTCAAGCATACTGTGAATAGATTTGTCTATAATGAGCAAACCATGTAGAACTACTTTTTTTAAAAAAATGTAGCGAGTATAAATTTAGTAGTTTATTCCTTTTGCAAATCATTATATAAATGATTTATATCTTCCTAGGTGAGTTACTCATTGCAAAGTTTGACACATGCCATCAACCTCAAATACATGTCCGCTTACTTTGCTGTGGCAGCGTCCATGTGAACTGCTTTGTACACTGTGAACCTATTTCACTCCAGCCTGCTCATTTCATGTTTACTCTGGGCTGGAAAAGACTTTGCCAAAACATTAAAGACCATTCTTTTCACTAAATAACATATTCTATCTTCTTTCAGAAGATAAATCTTTACATTTCAGCTGGTTTTGTATATCAGGTTGTTTTTTTTGTTTTGTTTTGTTTTTTTAAGATCATTCTTAGAAGTTACAAAGTTATTTTTCTTCAAAGTAATATATCCACTTTATAAAGACTGCCTTGGCAAAACAACCGAAATGTGAATGTTGTGCCTAGTGAATGAGTCATGTTTTGTCTTGATTGTTGTCTTCTCTTTTCAACAATTATTGGTATTAAAAAATGCCAATTTTTAGTTTGAACCACATTTTTAGCTCAATATTGCAAACAGCAGTAATACTGTTTCAAGAACGAGTGTTGTAATTGCATAGCATTTGTATGCACTTTATATCTTTCAGTTAGTGAAATTAATTTATTAATCATTTTGCACATGTAATCTGTGGGGTATACCCTTTTTTGTTGTGTCTTTTTATTTTTTAAGGTGAGGAAGCTAAGTGATAGCAAGGCCATGTAACTCAAAGGTCGTACAGAAAGTTGAGGGGAAATCTAAAACTGGTTTCCTCCTGTGCGTTATAAGGAAAACCTTCCACTTAATCCTCTATCTCCAGAGGTTACCTTTTAGCAGATGCATTACTTTGCATTACAGTGATCACAGGGGAAGCCCTATCTTTTTACAGAAAGTAGTAATTTGCTAGAGTAGAGAGGAAATTATTTTAGGAAAAGATGGAGATCCTAAATTCACTTAAAGATTTGAAATTGATAAAATCTGGACATTAAGAAGCCCTAAGACACTCTAAATTCATTCTTGCATTTATCGTTTATTTACTCCTCTTAGCTCAAAAGCGGAGAGACATGACTGTTAGCATGAGTGTCCTTTCAGCACTTGTGGCCGTGGGATACAAATTGTATAGCAACAATTAATAAGACCACCTCTTAGATGGACCAGCTGAGAGTTGGTGATGAAAACACAATGAAATGAGCTCCCCCATCTATCTCAAATGATTAGAAAGGCTAACAGAGCTTTCAGTTTCATGTGCTGTGATCACTGAGCAAGACCTATAGTATTTTATTCTTTTCACTTATTAGGCTTCTTTAATTGTTCAATAACAGTCAAATACTTAAATAGATGCTGGAGAAATTGCACTAGAGAATCCCAGCCTCTAGAATTAGAAAAGATGAATGATATAATGTCCCTCAAATCATTTTAGGTTGAATTAAGCATGTAATATAAATGAATGAATGAATGAATGAATGAATGAATAAAATAAAAATGTCAATGAATTATAAAAAGCAATGTTTTTAGGTAGGGTTGATAAAATTTGAAGTACAGTGAAACCTCATTATATGTATTAAATCTACATTTTTCTAAGCATTTTCCCATCACATAAAGGATTAGTATTTAATGAAATAAAATGCTCACAAAGCAATGGTTGCCCTCAGAAAATTTTCCTCATTAAACACCTCCTAATCAGTAGTAGCTGAACTATAAAAAGAATTTTCATTGTATTTTTTAAAACTTTTGATGCCTCCATTTGGACAATGTTGTAATCAGCTCCCTTTTCACATTTTATGGTATTCAGGTGTGAAGTTGCTTCTTCTATGTGGAAAAGTTAGCCTGCATTTATTTTTAAATGCAGTTATTAAAAAAGTTGTGCATTCCCCATCAATGAAAATTTTCAAGTGTGCACAAAGTAGTGAATCGTAATCCAAACATTCCATGTTTATTTCCTGTAGATTTCAGTAAAATATTCATAAGCCAACCACACATACATCAAGATGGTAAATTTACATTGACTGCAAATTTAATCTTTCTCACCGTCTCTGTTCTCAGTGCCATGCCTGTAACATTGGTAAAAGTGGACACTAGGCAAATGGTAATGAAAGAAAAAAGTCCTTTATTTAATGAATTCAGGTACATTAGCCATTTGTTATTTTGTGAGTGACAGTTTTTCTTAATGTTCATTGTTATTTGTTGGCAAAATAAAAGTGCCTTAAGTTAAAAGGTTTGTTTGAGATCCATTAAAGAAATCAGTATCAATTTACAATGCATTTCTTTATGAAGTTTTTTTTGCATGTCCATTAAAAATTTAATATTGTAAATGTATTCAGTTCATTTACATGCCTATGGCTGCCTTTGATTAAACATTCTTCCAAAAAATAAACTGTCTCCAGATGTTAACTTTGTTCAAGCAATTTTCTTTCATGTTATATTACTTGAATGTAAGTTGTTGCATAATTACTGCCAAGTAGAGTCTTTGCTGTGCATTTATAAATTCCAGAATCTGAAGTTTGAGGGTTCTGAATAATTAACATAGCTTGTGGGTGAAGCTGTTCAGTGTGTCCTTTTATTTACGAGCAGGGGGTGGTCAGGCATCTCCCATGTGATTTCTGGTTTGGGGACTCCCAAAACTGTTCAGCTACTCAGTGCAGCTGAACAGCTGTTCCTGTCCTTTTGAGGATGTTCCTGGGTAAGCGATGGGTAATTCGGAGAGGGGACGCTACAACCATTACCGGCACAGTAATCAGTGCATGACCAACACTATTTAGAGCATGACAAATATAGTTACCTCTGTCATAAGCTGCTGATGCTTTGATGACTAAAGTGCCATTTTCATGCAATATGTATTTTCCATTAACTTGAGGCCTATCTATTGTATAACCACTGGGAACAACCCATTTGATATTTGGCTTAGGACTTCCATCCGTTACACAATCCAATGAGAGAGATTCTCCACTGATGCAGTATACTGTGCCTAGTGCATAAGTAAGAATAACTGGCTTCTGGCCAACTTCTAATACAATTAATTTTTCAATATAGCCAACTTTATTTCTTGCTGCACACCGATACTTTCCTGCATCATCGCAGGTTGTCTTATAAATGATAAAAGTACCATTGCTTGCTATGAGATACTGAAGATTTTGCAGCCCACTGGGAAATCGTGTGCCATTTGGTAAAATCCAGATGATTTCAGGTGGTGGATTTCCATCAACAGAGCAATCCAATGCTGTGGTCTTTCCAAGCTCAGTGACTACTTTCTCATTAAATGGATTTCTGAATGTGGGTCTTCTCAGCATTTCTAGTACTTCTAACTGTACCACCAGCACACTCTCTCCTCCTTCATTCCGAGCCACACAGATAAAGTCAGCTGAATCTGAAAGCCTCACATTCCTAATTTCTAGAGTTCCATTTCTATGGACTGTGATTCTGCTTCCATAGTAAGGGGCTGTGAGGAAAATGTTGTCGGGCATGATCCACATGATTTGAAGAGATGGTGTCCCTTCGACTGTACAGTCAAAATGTTTTTTGGAATGCCTAACGGCTGTGGCTTTAATAATAGTCTTGTTTGTATACAAGCCATTGATCAATGGAGGCTTGGGGACAATGTCCAGTTTGTGTATTTTGGTGTCATCCCCACTGGGATTCCTGGCTACACACACATACTCTCCTGAATCAACAAGTTTCACTTTGTTGATGGACAAAGACCCATTGGAATGAAATGTGTACCTGTCCTTTGAAAATGAGATCATATCATTAGAAGGCAGCAACCAAAATATTTTTGGTTTAGGCTTCCCAGTGACTTCACAGTCAAGGAAGGCTGTGTCTCCAGCATGGATCCTCATGTTTGTGGTGTAACGCTGTCTGATCCGAGGGGCAGCTGTTATCACTATCAGATGCACCTTCATCTCATCCTTTCCTAGAGTGTTCTGGGCAAAGCAGGTATAATCACCTTCCTCTGCTATCCCGACTTTATTGACATATAAGGTTCCATTATCAAAAAGGGTGTACCTCCTGATCCCGTGTCCACTGTCATCAGCTTGCATTCTCTTGTTTATCATTGTTCCGTCAGGCAAACTCCAAGATATCTTGGGCACTGGCAAGCCAGAAGCTTTGCAATCAGCTTGGAAATCTTTCCCATGAAACACTTGCTTTGTAAAATGTTGCTTGTGGTCAATTTTGGCAGGTTTCCATCTTAAGCCAACATGCATCAGTATCAGATCATCCCCCATTTTGTTCCTTGCCACACACACATAGTCGCCAACATCTTTTTCTGTTACTGAGGCAATGAACAGGGATCCATTTGGGTAGACGTGGATCTGACTACCAATTCTAAGAAAAGAAGAGACTGATTTGAGTGTGCTACTATTAGGAAGAGGGTGGGAGAGTTGTCTTATTTAGGTAGAATTAGCTTTATGGACAGTTTCTTAAACTGGTACAATGAAATACAAAACAGTACTAACTTATTTAGTACTAAGCTATTTCCTGAAAGATGAAATTATCGAACTGTAGAGGTATAATTTAGTCTAACAAGTAGTATTTCTTCAATTAATGGATTTCAAATGAATCTCCTTTTCATGGTATTATTTCTAAAAAATCATTTTAATAGTGAGAAAGTATTAGAAATACCAGTTTCCTATACACATAACTTGATCATTTTATATATTAAATGATCATTTTGTGATACATGCTGGTAAAAAACTTCTATAACAAACTTGCTCAGAAAAGATGCCTGATAACACTTTATAAAGAGATACTAGGTAACAAAACCAATAGTTACTTGGTTAGAAAATAAGTTCTACTTTGTTATAAAGAAAAAAAATGCCAATATAAGGTATTCAAAGCTTGCTATGTAGCACCTTCCCTTTGCTGTAGGTGTTAAGTTGTTGGTCTCTGCAATAGGTTGACCTCTATGGAAGGTTTTTCTCTCTGAAGCCACGGTGTGTCTGCTATTACCACATTGGACCACCAGATGGCAGATCGTTACTAATGAAACTAAATTCAGTATTTCAGAAAGATTAGTGGTGCTAAAAATACAAGCAAGAACATCCATAGGTGAATATGTAACTATCTAATTTTTGGCAATATGAGCTAAGTAGGTAGGTAAAACTTGAGAGAAAAGTCTAATGAATGTTTATAATTACTTGAAGGCAAAAATAAAGAAATACTGATAGACTATAAAATACAAAAACTGATAAACTGAAAACATCCAATGCCATAAATAGATATACATATACATCATGTGTAATTACATAAACATGATTAACTTTTCATTTCATAAATCAGCATTTTTTCTTAAATTAATTTTAATTTAATATTTAGGTCATTTTGATGGTTTATTTGAAATTTGGAAATTAACATTTACTTTTTAAAAAAATTTATTTATTTATGCATACAAGAACTGCAGTACAGGTCAGAGGTGCACGGGGTGAGAGGATTCAGCAGAGACAGAGTGGAGGACAGAATAGGCAGACTGACTGAAATTTACTGCTGAGGGGAGCAGCAGGAGAGTCAAGAGAGGTCTGCTGTGCCATGTGGGTGGTTCCCTGGCCGGGGATCAAACTCATGCTGCAGTGGGTTCGGGTAGCTTCATAGGTTGTGTCTTAACCCCTTGTGCCATGAGGAAGGCCCCAACAATTACTTTTTGGTTAAGGATTACAAGTTAAATTCATTAACTGCATTCAGTGCCAACATAAAGTGGGCAATAGGAAATAACCTATTCTTCAATTTCTAAGAATGAGCATATGATGTATATACCATTTACATATATATAATGTATACATCTATTGTGTATCATTTTCCTACATGGCTGTTTTCTATTAATGGATAAATATATGCATTGGTAATGTTCATCCCCATCATTCTCTGTCATGGAAAATCATTGCATAAAGTCATACAAATGGCAAAAATTGATGACTCGTAAACTATAATTATCACTTTTCAAAGATAGGATTTGATCTATACAAAAAACCAGATAAGAATGTCAGTGTCTAATAAGACCTGAAACCATAAAATATATAGAAGGAAATATAGGCAAAACACTACGTGACATGCACATCAAAGACATCTTTACAGACACATCACCCAAAGCAGTGATAGTGAAGGCAAAGATAAACAGCTGGGACTACATCAAATTAAAGAGCTTCTGCACAGCAAAAGAGACAATAACAAAAACAAAGAGAAACCCCACCAACTGGGAGAACATTTTTGCACCCAACACTAATGATAAAGGACTGATCACAAAAATCTGCAAAGAGCTGATGAGACTCAAGAACAACAAAGAAAATAACCCAGTCAAAAAATGGGCAGAAGAGCTCAAAAGAAACTTCTCTGAAGAGGAAATGCAAATGGCCAACAGGCATATGAAAAAATGTTCAACATCACTTGTAATCAGGGAAATGCAAATCAAAACTACCATGAGATACCATCCTACACCAGTGAGAATGGCACATATTAAAATAACTAGCAACAACAAATGTTGGCGAGGGTGTGGAGAAAAAGGAACTCTCCTGCACTGTTGGTGGGAGTGCAAACTGGTCCAACCACTATGGAGAGCTGTGTGGAGATTTCTGGACCTACTAAACATAGAGCTTCCATATGATCCAGCAATTCCACTCCTAGGTATTTACCCAAAGGACACAGAAACATCAATTCCAAAGAGCACCTGCACCCCTATGTTTATAGCAGCACTGTTTACAATAGCTAAGCTTTGGAAACAACCCAAATGCCCAAAAATAGATGACTGGATCAAGAAGATGTGGTACATATATACCATGGAATATTACTCAGCATTCAAAAAAAGATAAACACATGCAATTTGCAGCAACATGGATGGCGCTGGAAAGGATCATGCTCAGCGAAATAAGCCAAAAAGAAAAAGAAAAAAAGACCGGATGGTCTCACTCGTAGCAGGAATCTAGAAAACTTAAATAAGGGACCAGGAAAATGAATAACTATAAGAAAGTGAAAATCAAAATCAACAAAAAACTATGAACCAGAGACACTTTTTGGGGGTGGGGGGCAGGAGGGGAGGGATTGGGGTCAGAATGTGGGGGTTGCAATTGTATGGGGAATATAAAAATAAAATTTATTATTTAAAAAAATAAAGTTTAAAAAAAATGAAAAAATAAATAAACCTGATCTACCTTAAAAAAATAAATAAATAAAAATATGAGATGAAAGTGTATATGTATGTACGATCGATCAATCGATCAATAGATAGATAGATGTGTCTGATAGATAGGGTGTGATAGAGGTCCTGAATATTCATTTCAAAACCAATAGTGATGAAATTAAATGAAGATTATGCTAAACTTTAAAATGCTTATAGAAGATTCTGAAGAGTGAAAAAATGAAGTGTATCTCTCTATAACCTTGCTTGTATTATGAAAATTCCACACTTTTTGGATAGAGAGATTATGAATACCTTTATACAGTTACCATTTGCAAACTCTTACAAGTATGGAAGCAAACGAGATTTTTATTCTATAAATAAACTCAAGTAGGCCTTTAGAGTTAGTCATGTAAGAAACTTGGTTTTTATATTACAATGATCTTAAAATGATTCTCTATAGAGAATTGCTTTTATGTGCACAGTTTAAGCCCTCTAAAACTGACTGCTATGAACACTTTTTACATTTCATAAGTTGTGAAGCTGAACAGATAAAATGTCAATAAAAAGGTGCAGTTTACCTGAGCCGCTGGTCAATGACAACCTTGGATGGTAGCCTCCAGATTATTTTGGGTTTGGGATCCCCAATGGCTGAGCAGTTCAGTAGTAGTTTGTCCCCCAAATTCACCTCAATCTGTTTCTTAGATGCAAATTCTATCCTGGGGATGGTTTCCGGCTCTTCCAGGGTAAGAGTCACCACCCTTCTCTCTGAGCCAGTGGAGCTGGTAGCAATGCATTCGTAAGTGCCTCTGTCTGAAGAGTCTATATTTTTTATATACAAAGTCCCATTTGAAAATAAGAACAGTTTGGAACTGATGAGCTGTAATGGTTTCACTTCAGTGCCATTGGAGAGGACCCAGTGAACACGGGGCTGAGGAGTTCCTTTGGCAGTACAGGGCATTTTCAAACTTTCACCCCAGCTCCCTGCAATGAGTTGCCTCTTTGGCTCTAGAATAATAGGTGGGGGTGCAATGACTTGTATTTTAACCAGCACTGACTCCTGACCAGCAGGGTTGCTGGCCATGCATTTGTAAAAGCCCCGGTCATAAATGCTGAGATTGTGGATGACCAATGTTCCATCAGATGTCACCAGGGTGGCCCCCCTACTCCCCTGTGATGATTCTGAGACCACTGTTTGGTTTGCAAGAATCCAGGAAATCACAGGCTTTGGCCTCCCTTCTGCTCTACACTTCAATTCCACAGTGCTTCCAGAATGAGCTGTGATTTGTTTGGTTTGGCTCTCAAGTATCCTGGGGGGATAGGAAACCACGGACAAGGTGACATGAAGGTGGTCTGTGCCAAACTGATTGGATGCTGAGCACAAGTACTGTCCACGATCCTGAATGTCCACTCTTTGTATGGACAGGGTGCCATTGGGAAGCACCTGGAACCTGCTATTCTGTTTCTCTCTAGACAAAGCAAGTCCTGACAAAAAGAAAGAAGTTTATAGCCATAGATAATCAAGTTTAGATAGAAAACAAATTGTTCAAGTAGAAGTCTCAGGAGGAAATCTCCTTTTTCTTAAGCTATTGAGAACATTTAAAATTAGAATACCTAGTCTTCAGTTGCTAAATTTATTTCTGGATTCTTTTATCCCCAAAATTTTAATTTAAAAGCCAGATGGTTCAACACAGTGACTAAATCTTACTTCTTTGGACCTGCCTCCAGAGCATTTCAAAAAATGTTCTTAACTAACCTGTCTTTTAAAACCTAATGAATAAAATCATGCAAATGTCAGATGAAGGTATTAATAGTTTCTGTGTCTTAGAGAAATGTGGAACTGGTGTTGATTCTTTAGAAAGGTATTCCCAAACATAACACAATCTTTCTCTTGTCTTATAATTAAAGGAAAGTTTGTATAAAGAAATAGTTTCAAATACCTGATGAGACTCTGGTCCAGTGGATGGTGGGCAAGGGGTTTCCAGCTGCCTCACAAGGAAGGAAGGCATCTGAGCTAGCTGCAACAGTAAAACTTGCTGCTTTTCCTCCAATTATTCTGGGTCTTTCAAATATATCTCTAGACAAAGGGTCAAAGGAAAGTTCAGAATTTGTTATTTCCTGAATCGGTGTCTTATAAAAGCCACTTTTCTTTGCATTCTTCCGTCCATCCCAGTTTGGACTGTGAGTAGTGTCCCCTGGCAAGCTTGGAGAAAGCAACATGCTCACTACTGGCTTTTGGCCTTTTTCAACAATTTTTGGGTACGACTTGTGCCCAAAGTAGTTTTCTGACCAAGAAGAGGGAGACAAATTAGAGTTCTGTGATTTAACTATTTTTAGAGCTGGTATAGGGGTAGAATATAATAGAGTGGAGTAGATAAAGTGGGAGGTTCCACTTGTGAATTTGGTGAACTTTGGCTGAGCCGTGGGAGCTGTTGCAACCACTGCTGCTAAGTGCTGTGGACTGGCATGGTGCCTTGAGGTTTCATGTAGCTTGATCATTGTATCTGTCATCCTGAAAACAGGAGCTGCCTCCCTGTTGGTGATTGTACTCTGATTACGCAAGGGAGGGGCGGTGAGGCTAGGCACGGGAGGGGCGCTGCTGCTCAGGAGTGATGGCACAATTGAGCGTCCAATGACTGTTGCCCTTGTTGGGGTCTGCTGTCGTCTGCTGGACAAAATTGTTTCAGAAGTAGTTGTTTTCTTCAAAGTCTGAGTATTCTCTTGAAGTAGTTCTTTAACTACATCTGTCATATTAAGGGTTGTCACATGAACACCAATTGTACTTGGAATTCCTTTTGTGTTTTCTAAGGGGGGATGAGAAAAAGCAGAGATCCTGAACTTGGTTGGAGTTTCAGCTCTAATCAGAACAGGTGTCATGGCAGTGGATGTAGTGAAGCCAGAATTCTGGCCAAGAGAGTTGTTTGGGTCATTCCTCTTTTGAGGCTCCTTTTTTCTTTGTACTTTCCGTGCTCTGGGTCTGGCTATTTGGAGTTTATTGGTAGTGATAGATCGAGGGGCCATAGGAGTAGTTAACATGTCTATTTGCATTAATATCAAATCTGTTCTTGATTCTTTACTTGAGATAGCAGGAAGAGTAGGGGCAATGAGTGGGAAGGGCAGTCGCTTAATTTTCAGGAGACTCGTAGGAATGTTCGGTTTGCTGGTATTGTGAGTGGCAGCCAATGTTACAGATGGAACATGCATCACACTTGCTGAGAGTGTTGTGAAATCAAAGGGTGAAATTTTATTTGTGGGTAAAGAAGGAATTATTTTAGGAAGTGCTGTGGCTATGCTTTTTTGCAAATGAAATTCATGTTGATTCTTTAACCTTTCTTTTTGGATATGATTATTTACAAAGATTTGATGCCAAGGAAGTTTCCTTCTTGAAAATCTTGTAATGGCTATAGGAGTGGGTACAGATGTGTTGGTGGTAGGACCTGGAAGTGGCAGTGTAATCACTGAATCTCTTTTAGTTTCACTTGTGTTACATGCACTTGGGAAACTGGAATCTGTTACAAGAGTTTTTTCCAAAGATATGGGTATTGGGATATGAGATCTGATTGTACCAGTTGGAGTCATTTGGGTACTTTCAGTGCTGAGATATTTTATTCTGTGTGTTGTTTTCTCAATAGCTGCATTTTGTTTGTTCTCAAGTAGCAGTGATGGATTGTTCACTGGACTTGTAGGCTCCCTTGTTGTGACTCTGGCAATGTCAGCTTTAGAGATGGTGACAGGGGAAGAACTTGGAAAAGACAATGCTACTGCAGCAATGATGATCCTTTCTTTGGGAGAACAAGCTGGGCATACCCTATTGGGCTCTGTGGCTAACAATGCAGTAGTGCTTTCTACAGAAGAACCTCTGAATGTTGACCTTGCAAAGCCGTAACTGCGCTGTTGGGTAATTGCAGTTTTATATGGGCTGATGATTCGCCCCCTGCCCCAAATTTTCTTCCATCTTCCAAAACGTCTGGACAGTGGGAAATTAGTTGTACTGTTTCTAGGAATTTGTACATGAGAATGAACAGCAGTGTATGGGTCCAAGACCTTGGAGGGGCTAAGCTTTTGAATACTGTGAGAACGGACATGATTGTTCCTGGGCTCGCTGACTCCTGTCACAGATGTCTGATGATTATTTCTGCCATTTACTAACCCTAAGAATGTATGTGCTTTGGTATTAGTGCCACTAGACATTTTGATATTCACATCTTTGATCTTAGTTGCCACTGGTATTAGGGATAAACTTTGCAAATGCTCTCTTTTCCTTCCCACGAGGTCACTATCCTGAAATTCTGTCACTTCAGAGAACAGTGGAAATAAAGTTGGCAGATTTAGGCTGGTTATGCTTTGCATTTTGTTTGATGTGGTTGGGTTTCTGTCTTTTGGTATGGCTGTAGTTTTAATAGATAGTTTGAAATCTGTTGGTTTTTCAGGTGGTGGTAGTTGTGAACTCACAATTGGGGCGCTATAAGTGCCAGTAATACTATTTGTCACAGGGCTAACAGATATTTTTCTGGCATCAGCTGCCATTGTCCTTACCAAAACATTGGGTGCTTCAGTTGCCAGGATCATAAACTCTTCATCTGGCGGGAGCATGCCTGAAGCATCTAGTTCCTTGACATGTATTTCCCGGAGTTGGGTGGCTGGTAGAAGTGGCCTTACTGTGGTATTTTCTTTCTTCTCTGGCATAGTATTCTTTTTAGCTTTCTCCAAAAGTGTGGCCCAGTGTTGTGGGTCAATTTTCCATGCAGAGGGAGTGAAATGCCTTCTATGCTCTTTAAAACGTTGGCTTGTTGCTTTGCCATGCTGCTGGTGTCCTGACATCCAAGAGTTGTGCTTCTTACCTGTGCTTGCAACTTGTTTTCTAGACTCAGCCCCAGTGGAATCAAGCTCATCAAGTCCAGATCCATCTGTTTCTCCATTGTACTCCACTGCCCTTTGTTCTTTTATTTTGACTGAAACTTGGTTAATCAAAAAATCAACCCCGGATGGGTTAGCGGCTACACAACAATAATGACCTTGGTCTTTTTGAGTTATCTGTAATATTCTTAATGTGCCATTGTGAAGAATTTGCTTATCTCTCGAGGATTGATAGAGCACAATATTTCCTGGAAGAACCCAGCTAACAGAGGCATCTGGGTTGCCAGTAGAATGACATGGAAGGTCTACTGTTTCACCAGTAAAAACTGTGTGATAAGCCCCATTTTCCTTATAGGCAGCTATGTCGGGCTCTACCACAGTTACCCTATAGGAGAGCATATCTGCATCATCATTACTAGTGCTTATGCAATGATAAATGCCTGTGTCAAACCTATCAGCTCTCTGGAGCTTCAGTTTCCCACTTTGATCTATTAGGATTCGCCCATCCTCACTCACATAAGGGGCTTTCACTTTATTCCCATCAGCTAGAAGCCACTCCAAATGTGGGGTAGGGTCTCCTTGACCTGGGCAGTCTAGGTCAATGGTCTCACCAGCCAAAACAGTATGTTCCAACTTAGTATTATTATTCCTGGAAATCATGGTCCATTTATATTTCTCTGGCTTCATTTCAACATTTGGTAAAGTGACTTGAGAACCACTAGAGTATTGTATCTGCAATGTACTAAGTGTGGTGGCAGCTCTGTTTAGCTTCAAGGAAATTTGGTCTTGCATCAGCCAAGAGGGCTCAGCTCTGAGAACTGCCTCTATATTTGTAAATATGTCTTCAGGCTTAGAAGCCACCTGTTTATATTTGTACCAGAGTTGTGGTATTTCTGTGAGCAAGTGGCTCCTTTCTAGTATCAGTGGAGAGTCACTGTACAAAGCCAGAACTTGCCACACTGGCTGAATGTCACTGTCATCTATGTTACACATCAGAAATGTTGAAAAAGGTGTATTTAGCATGATATAGTTATTTTCTTTGTTGAATGTAATGGATGATGTCCTTGAAGGCTTCTGGATACTGCAGACCATATTAGCTTCATTTCCAGACTGATCTGTCATATTCAAAGTGAGGGAGCCAAAGGGTTCTTTGAAATCTTGGGAAAAGAGGGACACAGAACCATTCTCTTCCAGAATATTCAGGTTCTTCAATTTCAAGGATGAGTCAATGGTCGGCTTGGTACACAGGAAAGCTTCAGCTGGGACCATAGCTAAGAGCTTGTCTTTAGAGGTCCTGGGGTTCATGCAAAGTGGACATTGCTGAGAAGTGGAGGGACTTCTGTCTCTTTTGCATTTTATTATATCTAGGAAAAAGATAATTGAATTATTTCTAGCATGGCCTCTTTATGAACTAACACTTAGACATTTTGAAGAAAAAGTTTTTGTTATACTTTTGAACCAATTTGTAATTTTAGTGTTTCATGGAAAGTTTTTCTTATTTTTTGTCTTTAAATTAATTTCTAAAGATTATATTGATTCTTTGTGCTGCCAAAATATAATATTCATAGACACAAGTATTTTGTCTGTTTTGTTCACTGCTTTATTTGCTATGTCCAGAGAGTGCCTAATATATATTTGTTACTTAATAAGTATTAACTAAATGAATTGTTTCCTTATCTACAGAAACACTATAACATTCCTTGCTTTTCATTTATATAAAAAGTTGTTACTTTCTAATTTCTCATTTTAATGTTTTAAGAATCACATTTCATTGTATTTCAAAGATAACCTGTTTGATAAATTATCATTTATAAATCCTTAGATGTCATAAAAAAAAGTGTTTTTCTATTACACCAAAGAACATTGACCAAATTGCAAGATATCTTGCCCTGATCCAGGTTAAAAGTATTGGAAAGGGAGAGAAACAGATAAAAAGAGATAATTCAAGGGATCAATGATAACTTAAGCAGATTCTCAGAAAGACAAACAAAAGAGACAAACCTTTATTCAAACTCACAATGATGAAATAAAGCACACAAATAAAATCAGAAATGAAAGGGGAGAAGTTACAACATATAATGTGGAAATGCAAAGGAATATAATAGTTTTATGAACATGTATATGGCAACAAATTGAACAATCTAGAAGAAATGAACAAATTCGTGTAAACATATAACATCCCAAAGCTGGATCAAGAAACAAGTAGAAAATCTTGACAGATCCCAACTAAGGAAACTGAAACAGTAATCAAAAACCCCCCAAAAATAAAAGCTTGGGTTAGGAGAAAGATGGAGGTAAAGTGAAGATGCTGGGCTCTCCTACTCCAAATATTCATAACTAGGATGCAGCAGAATAAAGCCAATAGCCCCTGAGGGAAAAAAAAGTTTCTACAGCACACACCAGGAGCAATGGTCTGACAGCTAAGGGGCCTGGCAAGCAGTGGAACAAACCCTGCAGGCCCTGGCAGCAGGACCTGATTCCCACTGGTTGTGGCTCAGAGCAGCAAGTCAGAAGAACACTGTGTGGAGATGAGATAGGAAGGGTCCCAGGACAGAGACAGAGCTTTGCTCTTCCCTTCATTAAACAAAAGAATAAATAAATCACCATAAATTTCCTTGGCCCATTGTTTTTCTTTCTAGTTTTAGTTAGTCTCCAGCTTATTCATTACTGTGCTATCTCTATATTTTAAGTAACCTGGCTATTGCAAAAGGAGGAAGTTACAAAACTAGATACCAGACCAGTTCAAACTGGAGCTGTGGGCATAACACGAATACTACCCGAGATGTTCATAATCCCTGCAAGTGCATTTGATTGGTACTCACAATTAGCAACAAGAAATGGACTTTGGCCAAGTCCACTTTCCTTGCTTTTTCAGCCAATAAAGTTAAATTCTTTGTTCTCAAACCCCAGCCCTAAAACTTATATAAACTCCAAGTCCTAAGAACTCAGAGAGCCTCTCATTTCCTATTGGGTCTCCCCGGAGCTCTCTTCCCTTGCTCTTGCATTTTTTTCAATAAACACTTCCCTCACTGCTGTCTTTTCAATCTGGACAAGAAGTTCTCAAGCATCTCTACAGCTTTGAGAGCAAGACCCTTTGGTCAATTCCTCAGATTCCCAGCAGATGGAGCCATGGACATTGGCTAACTAGCCCTGGGCTTCTCCATCTGCATTGTTGGAGGATGATATCAGAGGGTGATATCCCACCCTCAGCTAAGGTGGGACTTCAGCACCCTTTGGACATCAGATACTGAAACAGACTTCAACACACATGCCACTGAGAAGATTCATATGTCACCGAGCAGAAGATTGGTGGAGAGAGGAATCCAGAGACTGTGGTTTGGATTAGGGAACGGGTGCCAGTACTACTGACTTACTTAGGGGCCCCAGGAAGCGGGGGTTGAGGTTGTATGAAAGCACATCCTTGAAGGAGGGGAAAACTTTGTTGAGGAGCTGGGGTGCTCCACAGAGTCTGGGTCTCTGGTAAAGTTAAAAACAGAACAAAATCTCTAGTATACCCCTAGGACTGGTACTTATCTCATGAAGTACACAGAAAACATAGGGACTGCTGAATCTCTCATTCCAACCAGCAAAAGGGAGGGATATTGGCAGTGCCACAAACATGAGCCAACCACACTTCAATTCATCCATACCAATATCTGGACCCCTCAGGCCTCTCCCCATCTTTCTAACTCAGCAACTGCAAAGATCTGAGTACACACAGAAGACAGCAAAGATGCAAAATAAAATAAACCCACCAGAACTACATGTAAGAAAAGTAAAATAGCTTAACTCCCTAAGTTACTGCTACAGACATTAAAAAATAATAAAATAGGGAGACTTTAAATAGCAAAATAGGCAGACAAAATGATATAACACATAGCAACACAAGTCCTCAAAAGTATGATATTGCAAGGGGAGAACAATTCTTCAGAAACCAAATGCAAAAATATGAAAGATTATATCTCCCTATCAGATAGAAATTTCAGAATTTCCATAATAAAGAAACTAAAAAACTTAGAGGAAAACTCAGAAAGACAAGTGAAAATAATACAAGAGAACTCAGAGGTCAACTCCAAGAAATAAAAAAAATAACTCACAAGGGGCCTCCCAGGTGGTGCAAGGAGTTAAGATACAGCAATATGAAGCAGTCCACAGCTACTGCAGCATGAGTTCGATCCCTGGCAGGGGAGCTAACCTACATGGCGCAGCAGATCTCTCCTGACTTGCCTGTTGCTCCCCTCAGCAGTGTAGTTCAGTGAATCTGCCTGTCCTGCTCCCTACTGTGTCTCTGTGAATCCTTTTACCTCTTGCCTCTTTGGCCTGTACCCCAGTTCATGTATGCATAAATAAAAATCTTAAAAAAAAAAAAAGAACTCACAAAAGTTAGCCAGAAAATCCAACAAAATTCAGGAAAATAGCAAATTAAAATAACAAAACAAATTTACAAAGTAAAATCAGTGAACAAAAAAGTAGAAAATTAAGCTTTAAAAAAGAAAACATGAGAAATTCCAGTGAAGAGCTCAATGAATGAGTTCCAGAACTCTAGAGAAAGCTATGGAAGTGGAATAGACCAAACAGAGGATTGGGCTAGTGACCTTGAGCTAGTGACTAGCATCTAGGTGGAAGAAGAGAATGGAAGAAGAAGGAGAATGAGGAAAGAGAGGAGGAATGAGAGGAGGAAGAAGGAAGAGGAGGAAAGAAGAGGAAATAAGATGAGAAAGAGGAAGGAGGAAGGAGGAAAAAGCAAAGAGGCAATTCAAGAACAATCAGATACCATTAAAAAAGACAACTCTTCCCAGAAGGGGAAGAGAACTGAACAGAGAACTTATTCAAAGAAATAATAGAGGGAAACTTCCTATAACTGCAGAAGGAATTAAGTATACAAGTTCATGAAGGTAAAAGAGAGCCTGGTTACTTAAATGCAAAAAGACCTACCCAAGACACACAGTAGTGAAACTAGCAAGAGTTCAAAACAAAGAAAGAATATGATCAGAAGCAAGACAAAGACATCGACTCTTACCACTACTATTTAACATAGTGTTGGAGGTCTTAGACAAAGCAGTCAGACAAGAAAATTATATAAACGGTACCCAAATTGGAAAGGTAGAAGTAAAAATATCTCTATTTGTGGAATACATGATAACACACACATAAAACCCCCAAACCGGGCCTCCCCTGGTGGTGCAGTGGTTGAGCATTTGTTTGCGAAGCTGCCTGCAGCCTCTGCAGTGCTGGTTCAATCCCTGGCCACCAGCGAGGGTCCCACGTGGCACACAGACCTCTCCTGCCGCGCCCACTGCTCCCCTCAGCAGTGTATTTCGTCAGTCTGCCTGTTCTGTTCCCCGCTTTGGCTCTGGTGAATTCTCTCACCCTCCCGTGCTTCTGACTGTACCCAGTGCTTTGTATAAATAAATAAATAAATCTTAAAAAAAAAAAATCCCCAAAGCTCCATTCGGGGATAAGGTGGGGGAATCCATTAGAAATAATAAATACACTAAAGTGGGAGCCTACAAAGGTAACATACACAGTCTGTTGCATTTTTATATTCAAATAAAAATTAGCAGAAAGAAAATTCAAGAACACAATCCTACAGACACATCAAAATGAATTAAAAAGTAAATATAACCAAAGAGGTGAAAGTCCTGTACACTGAAAACTGTAAGACATTATTGAAATATACAAGATATAACACTATAGAAAAATATTCTATGCTCATGAATGGAAGAATTTTTTAAAATGTCTATATTATACAAAGCAATATACAGATTCAATGCAATCCCTGTAAAAATCTCAGTGGCATTCCTCACAGACAGAACCTAAGTCATGAATTTGGTATTACAAAAATCATAAGTAGCAAAAAAAAAAAAAAGAAAGAAAATAAATAACATAATCCTGAGTAATGCTCCCTGATCCCTGATTTCAAGCTATACTATAAAGCAATATTAGTTAAAACAACAAGATATTGAAATAAAAACAGACACACAGGTCAATGGATAAACATACACTTATATGAATAAACACACACTTATATGAGCAACTGATTTATGACAAAAGAGCCAAGAGCATGCAATGGAGTGAGAAAGTCTGTCCAATAAATGATGTTGGGAAAATAGGAAGGTCAATGAGAAAGTATGAAACTAGATCACTATCTCATACCATACAAAAAAATTAATTCAAAGTTAACTAAAAACTTGCATGTAAGACCTGAAACCATAAAACACATAGAAGAAAATATAGGTAATATACTCCTTAACATCAACCATAGAAATATCTTTGGGGATTCAACTCCAACAATAAGGGGGAAAATACACAAAAATAAATAAGACTGCTCCAAACTATAAAGCTCTGCCCAGTGAAAGAAAGT